TAAAATAATAAAATAAGATACACTATTTTAAGATGCTGAAAACAAAACTGCATTAATAATTGGACTGTCAGTTGGACTTAGCCTGTTTGTCATCATCACAATAGCTGTTGTGGTGTTTGTTATCTTGTACTATAGAAAAAGAAGACATAAACGTGTTAAGGAAGAATATATTGAAATTATTCCGTAAGTTTTTGTAATGAATGTGTCATAATGGTTTCATAGCACAAATTTAGTCAAGATAAGACATTTTGATGAATTATTTTAACTTAGTTAATATGTGGATCTTGGTAATTATGTAAATCACTAAAAGTTTATCTGCAATGATTGTGCAAAAATAATGTATGCCTTTAACTGTGTGATAATAATGCTGTGGTGAAATTATCCTTTTATAAAGTCTGTCATGGAAGCACATTCAAGATGCAGAGTTCTAATGTTTTCTTAAATCTTTTTCTAAGACAACTGATATCCCCATTACCAAATGACGCTGTGTACAAAACAACTGAGGACTATCACGCTTACAATAAACCATTTAAGGATTCAGAAATAACTAACAGTACATACAATGAAATACAGAATAATCAAAATAGTGTAATTGTTATGAATGCAGATTTAAACAACTCTCCATACAATGAAATCCCCATCAAAGAAGACAATGAAGTTGCCAACAAAGCGGTAGAGGCTAACAGTCTTTATAATGAAATAGCCACTAATCCAGAATATGATAAAATTCACAATCCATACCATCAACTAACTGAATCTGGAACTAATGACTTAGACATGGAACATGTAAGTAGTACAAAGTTTGGAAATATACATTTATTATGAATGACCACAATGATTGGTTCAGATGAAGTAGAAGTAGGGTTTTTTTTAAAATAAATTTTCATGCTTTTTAATCTTAAGCTCTACCTTGATGACATATTTTTAAATTTTTTTACCCACAGGTTTATGAAAAGATCCACAAGTGAACAGTTGAACTTAATCTATGCTTAACAACATAAGTAATCGTTAGTATGATATAATTAATTATAATAAACAATAGTTTTTTTGTACATCACTTTGCCTGTTTCATTCATATATTAAAATTTACATGGAGTTGTATACACCTATATGTCACCAGAACAAATAAAATCCTAGAATTTATGGAATACCTAGGCAATTTAGCAATCTCTGTTGTTGTAAGGCAAGGTGTGAATTATCTGTGTTCTATAATTTTTCTAGGCATTACATGAAATGCATATGCACTGTAAAGACTGAATTAGAAAGTTGCTCATATTAAACGTGAAACATCCAGATTGGAAAAGTCCAATAAACAATCACAACTGAAAATTTAACTTCAAATATTAACCCCTTAACCTTCTATTTTAAAACCAACATGGTCTTTATCCAAACGTTTAAGCACACAAAACTAGTGGAAGAAAAAAAGGATTCTTTGAAATACACATCTATTCATGTTTTTAATTATCAACAGTGGTTTCAGCTTAACCTTCATCGTTGCATGTTTCTTTCATTTGTATTGTTGGTACACTTTTTAATCAATGTTTTTATTTTTTTCTCTGTTTGTATACCTTGTTGTAAGATATCTTGTTTAGGTGAGATGTTATGAGACACACTTTACATACTCTAGCTTTGCAGGTAAAAGAGAGCTTCCTAATATGCACTTTGAAGCACAGATTGAAAATCCCTATTATTCATAACATTTAAGATGGATGAAATTCTTTGCTATAGTGGTCAGTTTCCTGATAATGCATCCAAATAGACAGCATAGCTTTATGTCTGGGTTTGCACTTTCAACCATAATAATATTCTAAAATCTGCCTAATTTGATTTAGGTATTCTATAGATTGTCTAGCAAATGTATGAAATTCAATGCATTTTTATTTGACAACTAATTTCCGACATTTTATACACTCTCTATGTATGAAGTGTCTTACAGTTTTAGTGATTAGTATCTTGGTCCTAAATTGTTGAGAAATGGAAATATTTCATTAGACTTGGTTTTAATTTAAGCAGTATTATAATAATTTACACAAGATGTTCAAATAGTATTGAATTTAAATGCTGGTCTAAAGTTACTTAAGTTTTCCACTTTTACTACCCATGTCCAAAAAGATGGCTTGATTTTATGCAGTGCCTTTCTACATTATTTAAATGAGTTAAATTGAGATAGTGACTCAATCTATGTAAAAAGCATATGGGACTAGCCCATCACTAATATGATAAAAGGATCGGTAACAAAAACTTATACCTGTCTCCTTTTTCTGGCTTTCACATGTTGAGTTGAGGGCCATCAGCCCTTCTACTACGTATGCTCGATTTTGTATTTAATTTATTTTATTTTTAATTTAATGTTATATTTTTTTTTACCATAGCTAGAAAGTAATTCATATTGTGTATCATTAATATGTTGAACCACTTTTTAAAAAAATCCTTATTATTTTTAAAGATATTTCTGTCAAAGTTTTAGTTCATGTGACAGTGAAATTTTGAATTATAATATACTAAATTCCCAGTGGAAAAGGCACAGACCCTCCAACTGGTTGCATTCTGTCATTGCTAGGCTATATTATTATAGCTAAAATGTATAGAAATATATTTTTAACCGATGACTATTAAATTGAAAGACAACTCACATAATAAAATTTGTTCTTAAAGTTAAGCATAAGACTGGTTATTTTTTTCATTTTTTTATTACAATATAATCAGTATAATCAATATTTAAAAAATTAAAATACACAGAGAAATATAAATTAAATTTATTTTATTCATGTTAAATTTTTTAATTACATAAGATTTAATGCTTAAAACTTCCTTCCCCTTCTTCTTATCTTAAATTTAGTGTTGGAAGGGTGCCCTCCAACACAATTAAGTAATAAGAGTCAACTTCGTATGTGCCATATAGTATAGTGAACAGAGATGTAATTATATGCAAATAAATATATTCTACCATTCTTAATAGCTTTGTTACTGCTTGATCAAAATGTCATCCTTTCTATTATGTACTTAAATAATTTTGGAACATTATGTTTTCCTATACTATTGCTTCAAATACAGATCAGAAAAATCATAATTTTCCTGTTTTGCAAAAGAAAACACTAATGCAATTAATCTTGCAAATGCAATAATAGCAGCAATATAAGAACCAATGTATACATCATGCTGTTTCCAATGAAATAGTGAAATGTATAGAATACATACAAGTAGTATGCTATCCCTAGGTCAAAGCTGAGCCCACAGATGAGTCATTGAGAAAAAAAAAAAGAACTGTGGGTAGTGTTACAGCCAAAGCAGATAAAATATTTGTTATTTCATTTTAACAAAAGTTGATAGTATATATAAATAGTGAATGTAATGGAATTCCAAGCAATAGAAAACATGCTAATTGTTCAAGTTCTAAAACAGTTCACAACAAGACTGGTTTTATCAAATATTTTATCAGGCACATTAAAGAATGACTAACTTTAAAGATGTATTTGTTTTATCTGTTAAATATCTATTTGCTTGTAAGTTTTGTTGAATATTTGTTGTTTAAATTTTAATGGTTAGAGAAAGCAATTTATTTATTATTCTCAAGAAGTAAATAATTTGAAATGGTTTTTAAATTGTATAAGCTAAGTTAACATTAAACTGCTAATTTTTTTTCAGAATAACTCATTATCGTTCTAACGATTGTGTAGACTGATTTGAATAAACTACAAAACAGATTTTTTATATTGACTAAAATACCATCAAATGAATAAAATAAAGCAGGAGTGATCTTGTCTAAACTTTCTCAAAAAGTCTTATATAACAATTCTGGAGAAGGCAACTTGGGATATAGTCATAATTTTTAATCAACGTTTAAATACTTAGCTTTTAAAAATAGAATAGAATTTCAGAGAAAAAAGAACAGCAAATGATATGAGTATAATAGTTCAGAACATTAGTACTTCATATGCGTTTTTAGAGAAAACAAAAATTGCGTAAAGTATTATTTAGGTTCACTGGAAATTGATCAAAATTTGACAGAAACAGAGTATAAGATCTTTTACTTATATGTGAAATTTTATCTATCAGCACAGTACTCAAGCTATAGATTTTTGGAAAATCGAAAGATGAATAATTTTCACTTCCTGTTAACGGAAATCGCTGAAAAGTTGATACAGAACTACAAATTTGATATAAAACTTATATATTAAATTTCAACAACCTAGCTGTAATGGTACTCAAGTTATCATGTTCACACACATACACACACACAGACATATGGACACAATTGGAAACTAACTAAGTTTTTTCTGCCTCAGGAAGGTGTAAAATGTAGACATTTATAAAAATCGCAATTTCAATTTTGTGCACGATTACAATACTTCCTCAATACATGAAAAGGTAAAAAGATGAAGTGTGCCTAACTTAACGTATTTTTATAAATGTTGAAAATGAATCATTTTTATTTAAAAATGCATTACTTAAATTAATCAAAATAGCAAACAAGACTAATTAAAAGGTAATAGTCATTTTAGCAATAACCAGAACTATGATCAAATCATCATAATATTTATATGATCTTTGGTAGTAGAATGCATTCGTGGCTTTTATTTAAAAAATAACTATAAGTGTGGCTATATGTAAGAGTAAATGAAAGATAAATTTTAAATTTAACTTTCCACCTGTACAAAGTTTTTGATCAACCAATGTTGGTGGTGTTAGCTGATGCATTTAGTCTACAAATTTTCTGTTACTGCTATGAATACATGACAACATATAGGTAAGCTATAGTGTATATGTTTATTTCCATTTCACACATATCAAGCTCAAATATAGAATTTTAAACATCACACAAAAAAAACCTAAATTAAATCATGCCAAAATTGCTTTGGCAAAGTTATTCAGAGCAAAGAATAATACATTAGCCTATGACAGTACAGCCTACAATCCAAGTTGGAAATTAATAGTTTTCAAATGCAAAGGCTACTTTACAGCAGTTTTGTAATGCAATTTGTAAAATCTCTGTTCTCAAAGAGCTGTTGTATGTTCAATATGTAGGTTAAGCAAAATCATATGTATCAATTTTTAAACAATTTTACGATAAATAGTCTAACTGCAAATACTTTTTACAAAGTCTAACAATGAATTGCTAAATACAGTCCAAATGAATCCTATATTTATCTATAATATTCATAATTGCTAGCCATCAATTCAATGTGTTTATCAGTTTTTAAAAATGTAAGCCTACTTATTATTTATTAATGCAGGTAGTACAATATTTTTTGAAAACATTAAATACTTAAATAAATATGAAATTTTGAGTATTTCAGTACATCATGTTTTCATTATATATAGCTTCACTAAAAGGAGAAAGAACTGGATTATACTTTAAGCATTCAGCGGCTGGATCACTTTCCATGACAGGAGGTAGTTCAAAGGATTGATAACTTGTTTCTTCTTTTGTATGCTTTTTATTACTAAAAAAAAACTAATTTAGGTTATTTAACATTGGGTTTTTTAATGCTAAATTAGGGTAAGGAAAGTTTGGTTAAATCTAAAACATTATTTCATACACTATTTAGAAAATTAATAATAATAAAAAAATTACAAATAAATACATGATTTACATTTTATACTTACTCATTGAGAGGCTTTGAATATAGATGATATTTGCTTAAATTCTTTTGATGAGCAAAAGCAAACACACCAATAACCACAATGATGATAATAAACAAACCAATCCCAATTGAAAGTCCCAGAATTAAGGGCAATCTGTCTGTTAATAAAATAAATATCTTAACTGTAAAATTCACACATGAGGAATAGTTAAATAACATCCCAGCAGTTTCTCATTCCCTAAAGACAAATGTAGCTAAATATGTATATTTAGCATAGTATACTGTCCATTTTAATATACCTGTATCATTTATAATTGTTGGACACTCTGTAAGATTCTGAGGATTCTTATAACAATTATCACTGGATAAACAAGCTTGTGTGAGCTGTGTGTACAGGTCACAAGTCTTGTCTGGAACTAATAATAAATAATGAACATGATAATTAGCATAAAGTAGATTAACATCAGGTGAAACACTTTTTAAAATAGATAAGTGTTACATTTTATAAAACAGCTTCCAGAGTTATAAGATTGTTTAATATGTGAATAATGCAGATAGTTTAGAGTAAATATTTTATTGGCACTTGGAAGAAAAACTGCTTTAAGCTTTTAGATAAAATTTAATACTAAAACTTTTTGTTTACAAATCATCTACCTATGTAAACATAATATAAATGCAACAACAATTTTTATTTCACAATAATTTGAAATTACAACTCACTTGGTTGATTTTGGATTAAAATATTCATGATTTCTACTATATCAGAACCAACAGTTATATTTTGATTATTTTTTAAACTGATGGCAAACTTTGATGCAGAATATGCAGGAGTGCTGGTATAAGTCATGTCTACCACAATGGCTGTATGAACTATGATAGAGCCATTTCTGCAACAAGTTACAAAATGGTAAACTGTTCATTTTTGGCAATTATATAATACAAATTTGCTAGATCATTTGTGGAACTAAATTGAAGTGATTTTAAAAATTGTATTGTTAACAAATTAGGTTTTGTCCTAACTCTTAGTGCTCATTTAAAATACATTTTTCAAAGAAACAGTTCTAGTTTTGAATATGACATCATTAAGATCATTTACTAATACTGATAGTTGTGAAAAATATTCATTCTACAATATAGTAAATATTATTGTACTTACGTAAACTTTGAAATGACAAATGGAAGAAATTCTTTTCCCACTTTATCTCCACCTAACTTGTTTAGCTGAAATATTTTGTTTCTTTTAAATTCTACATGTAATACTTTTCTAGCAGGACGTACAAGTCATGCATAAATGAGGCCAGACTCTTAAGGGTCGAGTTTCAGACATTTGTGACAAAGAAGTTAAGGGGTTTTAGAAACTTTGAGTAAATAGATGTCTTACTTTTTGTTACAAAAATTATCATCATATAAAATGTTTGCTTATCTCATTGGAATTTAAATATACACAAATTCATGGAATAAAATTTGCCTTTTTAGAGGGAGGAGGATTTATTCTTAAATGTGATATCATTTAACTGGTAATGTGTTTTGTGATGAGGTGTAATGGTTGGAGCGGGTAAAATGACAAAAATAATTAATGACATGATATATGGATAATCTCATTTATTATATTTTATAGTATATTTTAAAACAACTGTAAAACATTATAAATAGCCTTACACTATCTTCAATGCTGAATTTTAGAGAGATGAACTGTTTTGTGTTGTAAATAAAAACATTAGGGTCTGGTACAATATTCAGTCTTAGCTGCATTGAAAAGCTTTGAAAATTCACTGAAGAAGATATATCAGACAATGTTATTTAAATGCAAACAAACAAAAGAAGACTAACATTGATTCATATAAAACAATAAATAATTGTGCATCAAAAGAAAAAGTGCATGTGCACACCAGTTATGGATAAATATTATAAGACAAGTTTTTGAAAAAACACCAATACCAACCTTTACAGGGAACAGTACTGTTGACATACAGATAACCTTGTTTACATACACAATCAAATGAGCCTTGTGCGTTTATGCATTGTTTTGTCTCATCACAAGAGTAGGTGGGATCAAAGCATTCATCTATATCTGAAAACAATTAGAATAATATGACTACATTTGCACATTCTGTAATTTTGATATACAGCTAAAAATATTTGGAGGATTTTATTCATAGTTTAATAACTTAAAAAAAAAACATCTGATTTTTTAAACAGAGTTTTGAATAGCTTTTTATTTTCAATCTTTTTATTTTATTTGCAATTATTACCCAAGAGTTGGTGAGATAAATAGAATTATTATTTATTTCTAAAACTAGATAATCAGTCTTGAAAGTACAGGGAAGGAAAATGTATTAATTAAATATTGGCCTACATACAAGAATTGTGAACATTTCTCAGAACTATGATTCAGATTGACTACAAAAGAACTAATAATGGGAATATTAAGCATTGCTTCATTACAACAAAAACTATGATATAAGTACATAAATATAGAGAAGTTAAATATCCCAATATGTCATTTACTTTTTTTGGATTTTTAGGCATGACAGCATTAAATTACTAACTCCAGAAATCAAGATTTCTGACCCTGGGCAGAAAAGGCTCCAGAGAAAACTCCTAACTCAAATAACTGCTGTCTTGCAAATTGTTTTTGGTGGACAATGGCTATAAAAACAAATTAACAAAGAAAAGCAGGCTGAAGTCAGTGTTGATTGGCCAAACAGCAAACTAAATTTTGAAATGTTATACTTACATGTGAAGGAGGATATTCTCTTCAATAATACAAAATTAAAAGTTAAGATGAAAAAGAAGTTTAATTTTTCACTTTATTTGAGTCTGTTAGTTTTATAGGGGGAATGGAGAGGTTTACCCATAATGTTCTACTTTGAGTTGTCTAATACCCACCTTGGCAGTCAGATCCACCAATTCTCTGATATCCTTGATGACATCTACACTCTACAGAACCATTTAAATTAAAACAACTATCATGTATATCTGGGCAGTAGCTGTTGTTCAAACACTCGTCTATATCTGTTTCACAGTTAGAGCCAGTCCAGCCTGGTTTACATGTGCAAGTTCCATTGGCAGCATCGCAGTTATTGCTGTTGTCTTTTACACATGTACAAATCTTCTTACAGTCCTGGCCATAGTGGTTCTCATCACATGCTAAAATAGATTGTAGGACAAAATTTATAAGAAATATCTACATTGTGTGCTATTTTAAAAAAAAACTCCTATAAACTCCTACATGATGCTCAGTTTAAATCATCTTAGGCCTACACGATGCTCAGTTTAAATGTTCTTAATTAATTTTTTGTGACCGAACGAAAGGATATTTTTGAAAACTTTCTTCAGCAATGTTGGTCTAAATTATGGCAGGAATCGATTGGTAAATGTTTTAAGTCGCTAAAAGGTCTGGTTGCCGAGATATGGAGCAAAAACTGCATTTGTTCGAGGTTTTTTGGCTTTTCCGGGAAATCCAGGAAGGAATTCCCGGAATTTTTTTGGCCCACAACCATCCTTGGAACTTGCTTAACATATTTGCTTTTGGAACTAGTCCTCGATATTGCTTCGTTGAGGAGGAGATACCACTTAAAGCTGCGGACACACATCCATCCATCCATCCAGAAATGACGAGTTAATAATCGCAATTGTCCGTATGGAAATTGCGCTAAAAATATGATACTACTAAACTGGCCATGTTAAGGCCTCAAACTAAATGTACAGGAAATTTAAATATGAGTTTGTGCTCTTTAAGCCATTATATCTTTAAAACTTCAATGCACCTTAAAAAGTGTGCAGAAAACTTATGCAATCATTGATAGTCACTGTGCTTAGTATTTGTATTTCAGTAAATTTTTGATATATTTTTTATACTTAAGTTGGTGACTTTATACACACATAACTATTATTTACATTTGTCTACCAGCTCAAATAATACATTTTAACTTACACAAACAACCAGTACTGGAACTGAAATAGCCTATTTTACAGACACATCTGTAAGAACCAGGGGCATTGACACACTCTGCATTGATTGGACATACAACATCATTTGTACTACACTCATCAACATCAGTACTACAGTCATCACCAGTCCAGCCATTTAAACAATCACAGATTCCATTTTCAATAAAACAGATTTGTGGTTTGGTGTTGGTAGTGTTGCAGGTACAATTTTCAGCACAGTTGGGGCCATAGAAGCCGTATTGGCAAGCTGTAGAGATAAAATGAAACAGGTAATTTGTTTTTAAAAAACTAAATTAATTAATAAGTAATGTAATGCAATTTAAATAGAATAAAACAAAGCTTGCTTTATAACATTATTATTATTTAAAATCAATTCAAAATGCCATGCCTTGAAATCTTTAATCATGCAGTAAAAATTAATTACAGAGTAACTCAAATTACTTGTTCTTCATTTGTCAACAAAAGCTATTTGCATGCTATGATATAAACATGGATAATTACCTCTGCAAGTTTTTTTATCTTCTAAAAGTTCTGTCTTGTTTTGGCAGGAACATGAAAATGATCCGTTACTGTTGATACATCTACCACCAACACAAGGGTTATTTTCACATTCATTTATATCTAAGAAAAAATTTAAACAGAAGAACATGTAATAATGTAATTCCTTATTCAATTGTGCATTATAAATTAGAGAAAAATATTTTCAATTTTATAAAAAAATTATATTCATATACTTGCAATTGCCATTCAATATTGTTTATTGTACTTGACTTTACATTTAAAAAAAAATAACAGAAGCAAGAAAAAAAACATACCAACACAGGAATTATTAATCATGCTGTATCCAGAGAAGCATGAACAAATCTGGGTATTATTTGAAAGTACACACAACTGTTGACAGATGTTTGATGCAGGACACTTCTGATTTAGGCTGCTAACTTAAATTTCACAAAATAAAAACGTAATAATTATTTCTTAACAACATATTACCATACCAGTTTATTTTTATGGTATTATTCTTTTAAAGATTTGTCAACAATTGAAAAATTGCAATACATGTGTTAATACCACATGATCTGCCAACTAAAATTCATTGTATACATGTAAAAAGAAATGCAATTAAAAATATTGACTATCTACACAACATTAAATTGTTAAGTTGTATAATATAATGAGCACTTACTAATGCAAGTATTTCTAGTTGTATCATTTAATTCATATCCCTCATAACATTCACAAGCAAATCCACCAATTGTATTCCTACATTCCTGGTCACAGTTATTTAACTCTTTTACTGCACATTCATTTATTTCTATTGAAAATACAGATTTCAATTAGAGAATATTATAGCACATAAGATTATTGTTTAATTAAAGTTTTGATGTACCTTATGGTGGAAGCTGAACATTTTATAATAAAAACTATAACATTCTGAAAAGAAAGCGAATATACCAACCATTGCATAGTGTTCCATTAAAAATAAAACCATGAGAATAACAAGAGCACTGGAAGCTGCCTTGTGTGTTAGTGCAGATCTGGTCACATGGGGAACTCAAACATTCATTGATATCTTTAACAAAGTACATGATTCTTTTGTTTTAACATGTTTCTAAATTTCAAATGTGCTACATAAAACAATTTTATTTTTAAATATTTAAGTAAAATAAAAGTACTACAATAACACCCGTAACAAAATACATATAAAAAAATACCTGTACAAGAATTGTTTTCAAAAGAATATCCCTGTTTACACTGGCAATAAAAAGAGCCTAATGTGTTGACACAGCTTGATGTTACAGGACATGGTGGTACAAGACTTGAGCATTCATCAATATCATCCTGGCACCAAGTTCCTGCCCAGCCAGCTTTACACTGACATCCTTGCGTGGGGTCACATCTTGATGTACCTCTTGTGCTGCAGTTACATTCTGTGGCACAGTTCTCTCCCCAGTGATAGGCATCACATTCTAAAAAAATGTAAGCATCTCAATTTTTAAATTGCAAGTTTAATAAAAATAGTACAATATTTTCAGAAAAGAATTAACACAAAAAACGTAATTTTGAAGAACAACTTTTTCGGTTGAGCAATATGTATATTATAACTTAAAATAATATATATATATATATATATATATATATATATATATATATATATATATATATATATATTTATTTATTTATATATACAGACATATAAATACCTTGACAGGTTTTCTTATCATTCTGTAGTTTAGATCCAACTGGACAAGAACAATTGTATGACCCTGGAGTGTTAATACAGCTACCATTGCATAGTTTTAGTGTTGCACATTCATCAATATCTTTATTAGAACAAAACAAATAGAAAACATTTACTTGGAAGAACATTAATGTGACTTTTACTACTAAAGCAGAAGTTATACAACTTTAATAAAGAGATAAAGAATGAGTAACTTTATTAACTGTTGTAATTCACACACACACACACACACACACACACACACACATATATATATATATATATATATATATATATATATATATATATATATATATATATATATATATATATATATATATATATATATATATATATATATATATATATATATATATATATATATATATATATATATATATATATATATATATAGACACATGGCACAATGGCTTACCCAGACAATCAAACAGGTTATTACTCAGCATGTAACCTATTGCACAAAAACACTGCGCTTTGTCATTAGTTACAGTACACCCTTGACTGCAGTTCAGGTAAAAGTTTTCACATGGATCAACATCTACAATATCAATTAAATTGTACACACTGTTAAAACTTATAATAACAAATACCCTTTGACATTTTTAAAAATTGTTTGACATCTATTTTATTATTGAAGGCAGTATAAATTTGAAACAAAAATTCACTAAAGTTATGGTTGGTTGCAGTAGCTATATGAAATTGTTATTATTTTATATTATAATTGTGAACATAATTTTAAAGAAAATGCATGCCGTAACATACCATCTTTTTCACAAGTCTTCCTGTCATCTTTTAACCTGTAGCCTGGATAACAGTCACAGTTGCTACTTCCAGGGACATTAATGCATTTTTGTTCACAGCCCGATTTGTCAGTTTCACATTCATTAATATCTGTTGGGAAGAAAACTGTTCTTGTTAGTTGAATATTAATTTAATTCAAATGATTTATTTATTTGTAATAAGGTTAACATACTAGAGAAACAATGCAGAAAGACATGGAGTTACCTTTACATGTGCCATTAAGCAGCTTTAAAAATCCACCTCTACACTCACAAATAAATGACCCTGGTGTATCAATGCATGTTTGAGGACAAATGTTTCTTGTTTCACACTCATTAATATCTGGTTTGTTAAAAAGTAAGTCTTTTTATGTTTTTGATCAACAAATACAGAAGTAGGTTTTTCTTTCTTAATATTCATTAATTTCTAGTTTAAAAAAATGTAAGCCATTTAATAGTTTTAATCAACTATTTTTAAAACAGCAACTGCTATAAACAAGCATATTAATAAAATATACCAAACCAAGTGTCAAGTAAAAGAGTTTTGTTTTTATGTTTAAATCAGTACAAATGTACAAATTCATTAGTAAAGATTATGTGATGCAATTGCTGAGTAGTGAAAGTGAAGCTTAATTGAGACACACATTAGGCAGTTTAAAATGTATTTTATTTTAATGTATGTAATATTTTTATTTTATTTCATTTAATTGCTTAAAGAAATAAGTACTTTGAAAGTAGAATAAAACAGCCTATAAAATTATAACTGCAGTGTAATTAGCATCAGTGTTTCTTCCAGGCATCTATTTTTTTGGGGGGGGGGGGACCACCCCCGAAGTGAGTCTACCGCCCCCCCTCCTCCAAACAAAATGGAATTGCTATAGAAAATATCCTTTTTAACAGTGTTCCCCACCCCAATACCCCCAGAGCAAAAAGTCTGGAAGAAACACTGGATAGCATGGTAGAAAAGAGTATACAACATTCTATTTTCCTTTTGACTCACTGGTTTATTGGAAATTTAATATTTAAATATTTAAATAGAATATCAAAATATTAGAACAAAAAAATATACATACTAAAGCATGTTCCATTGATAGCTTCATAACCCACAGGACAATCACAAGTATAAAAGCCTTCTGTATTTGTACATTTATGATCCACAGGACAGACATTAGGTTTTATAGCACATTCATCCACATCTGTTTCACATGATTCTCCTTTCCAATTGCTCTGACAGATACAGCCTTTAACATGGTCACATCTTACAGCCCGTCCTTTACACTGGCATTTAGAGCTGCAGTTGTAACCATAGGTGTTGCCTTGACATGCTGGAAACAAAAAACAACTTATAAAAGATAAGTGAAATGAACTTATTAGAAATTAAAATGCTTAAGCTAGTCAAATGAATATTTCATTAAATAGTATTAAAATCTACAGTTTAAAACAAATTGTTCCAAATATTCTTGAAAAAAATAAAAAAATACAGCTTTTTAAAATAATCCTCACAATAATTATTATAATTTTTATAATTTAAGTTTAAAAAAAATAATTATTTAATGAGTATAATTAAAAGTAAATGTACTGGAGTTACTGTTTTAACTTGAATAACATTTTTTTTACTAAACCAAAAAATTATATCATTAAGGGTTGTTAAATTTCCATTTAATAAGAGCACCAGTTGGAAAAAATTACTACTCTATTATGCCACATTTGGCTTTTGCAGGAAATATAAAATTTATATCTTGCCTTTAATAAAAGTACAATAAAAAATGAAAATACTGACAATTTTGGATAGGTAGTGAGGACCACTGTTTTATAAGACAGACTTTTAGTGAGGTATATTGGTAAAAACAACACTAAATGGATGTTTAATGAAATATAGCTGCATTATTTTTATAGAAGATAGTACACTGGCTGAAAAGTTTTAGTAAAAATACAATTAAAATACTGGAGTGTCATGTTTGTAAAACTATTTTTTTTATATAATTCATTTTAAAATTATTGTAAATCATGCATTTCTGGTGAAACACATCTAACAAAGCTGTGGCTACATATAAATTTTTAAATAGTTATAATTACATACTGTCACAAGAGCGCAAATCATTCTTGTTAAGAGTATATCCAGAGTAACATGAACAGCTGAAACTTCCGTTTGTGTTGATACAAACTTGTGAACAGATTTTCTCTTTGCATTCATCTATATCTGAGACAAAATTAAACAAAACTAATATATATTCACAGTTTAGGTTTAAAAATAAAATGAATTATTTATATTGATGTATGTCGTGCATGTATACTTTGAAAAAAATAAAATACCTTCACAAGAATAGTTGTTTGCTTTTAATTTGTACCCTGATGCACAAAAACATTCTGCTCCCTTACTGCCATTTCGACAACTGTATTCACATGACTTGTTGATTAATTTACATGGTTCTATCATTAGAAAAGTAGATGATTGCTATTATTAATGATATTTCATAATACAATTAAACATTTAACACAGTTATTTATTTTTTTAAATACCCTTTTCTGTCAGTTCACATTTGCCACCAGTCCTAGCAAACCCTGGGTAACATCTGCAATCATGACTTCCTAAGTTGTTAACACATATTTGATCACAGTCATGTGATTTCTCTGAGCATTCGTTGATGTCTGTGGGTATATTATTTAAATTTACCTAGAAGCAATTTAATGTTTTTAAGCTTAATAAAAAATTTTCATAATATGTAAAA